AGAATAGGTTTATTTTTAAATATATTTAAATTTTGATTATACGAGGGAGGGTCAATAAGTCTTTACAAAATCCAATAGATAGCGCTCGTCACGCTTAAATTATGATGTTTTTGGCAAGCAATACTACTAACTAGCTTTCGTACAAAGTTTTAGCTCGATTCATTAAGTCGTTTTTTGTGAGCGTTGGTTGAATAAAAAGTTATTGATTTATTTGAAAAATGGAAACAAACAGAGTTTCGAGCGATGATAAAACATTTTCATTTGAAAGGCCTTACATCAAAAGAAATCACAGTTGAGCTGAACGCCGTTCATGGCAAGTCTGCCCCTGTGTTTAAGACTGTTTGTAACTGGGTAAATTAATTTAAACGCAGCCATACAACAACAAAAGATGAACCTCGTTTAGGACGCCCCGTAGAAGTGAGTACGCTCGAAATGGTCAACAGAATCCACGATATGGTGTTGAGTGATAGAAGATTAAAATTGCAAGAATTAGTTGAGGTCACAGGGGTATTAAATGGTACAATCATTTCAATTTTGTATGAAAAATCGGGGATGAACAAAATATCAGCAAGATGGGTGCCGCGTTTGCTCACTGTTAAAAACAAACGAACCCGCGTGGTCACCTCTGAGGCTCTTTTGGCACGCATACGTCACAATCCGGAAGACTTTTGACGTCGACTCGTAACTGTAGACGAAACTTGGGTACACCACTACACTCCTGAAACCAAAGAACAGTCCAAACAATGGATTACCGCAGGAAAACCAGCACCAAAGAAGGCAAAGACAGTAAAGTCAGCTGGCAAGATTATGGCCACGGTTTTCTGGGATGCATATGGAATCATCTACATCGACTACTTTTAAAAGAGCCAGATGATCATTGGACAATATTATTAGGTTAGCTGAAAGAAAAAATCAGAGAAATACGTCCTCACTTGAACGAAAAAAATTCCTCTTTCTTCAAGACAATGCTCGAGTTCACACGTGTGCAGTTTCGATGTGCAAAAATTAACGATTTAAAGTTCGAATTAATTGACCATCCACCATATTCGCCTGATTTGGCTCCCAGTGAATTTTTCTTATTTATTAACCTCAAAAAATGGTTAGTCGGACAACGATTCACGTCGAATGAAGAAGTCATCGCTGAAACAAATACCTATTTTGAGGGTTTTCAGAAATCATATTTTTTGATGGCTTGAAAAGACTGGAAGGCCATTTAATAAAATGGATCGACCTTCAAGGAGATTATGTTGAAAAATAAAAAAAAATTGTATACGCAAAACTTTTTTTTCCTTCTTTTTGTAAAGACTTATTGACCCCCCCCCCCCCTCGTAAAATTCCTTTGAAATGACATAAATTTCACTACCCGAATCAAGTAGAGCTTTTAGCAGAATACTGTCTAATAAAAAAAGTATTTCAGGACAAATTCTGCCCCCATTATTACCTTCATTATTTAATAATTCACCGTTAATTTCACGTCTAGGATCTTCAAAAAATAGTTAATAATTCTTTTGATATTAAAGTGTTATTGGATTTTAATGTTGCAACTCGTTGCAAGCTCTTGCGTTTTTCCGATTTCCGAAAAGCAACATTTACGCGTTTTCCGAAGAAGTACTTTGTATATCTTGTGAAATTGGTTTGTGTTATTATTATTTTTATTCTTATTTACTTTATTATTTTTATTAATTGACTTATGATTTTCAATAGTTATAGTGCATATTTGTTGTTCTACGCTGCTATCTTTTTGAGTATGATGTGAACTAATATAATCATCATTATCTAGAGAAGATAAGATTTTAATAAATTCTGAAATCTTTTTTATATGTCTAGCTTGAACTAATCAACGTATATCTCTATCAAAATGTCGAGATAGTTTATCAATTAATTCTTCCTCATCTTTTTTTTTTTTTTTTTTTTATTTAACGTCGCTATATTTATGCTCCATCAGTGCTAATCTTCCTCATCTAAATCTCCATTTATATCAAATACTAAGTTTATTTTGCGTATTGAATAATTATAACGTGTTAATTTACCACCAAAATATTTACCGAATTCTATTTCACGAGTAATATTTCTACGTATTTCCGCGTTCCGAAATTTCTCTTTGAATAATATTTCAAAATCTTCAAAGTTTTTTTATCTCACGCTGTACTAAATCGTACCACGAAGAATTTACTCCAGTCATAGATTGAAATAGCAAACACAATATCTGAGCAGTATTATAATTACTTGCTTGCAAATAACGTTTGAGATCATTTAAATATTTTACTGGATGTGTAACGGGGGATTTCGTTCGGCGTGCTAACAAAAATCTCACCCGTTAAATAAAGGATATTCCTTGCGTTGCGAGGCTAACCGCCGCCTCGATCAGCTCGTTCGGACAGCCTCGATCTTCTGACCTTTCGCCGCAGAGCCCGTGAAAACTCACACGTGGAGAACACGTGCGGCAATCCAGGTTGCCCAGTGACTCAAGGTGGGGCAGGTTCTGCTATGGGCGATAGGAGAGGAAAACCAAAGGGAATTCGAAAAGAAAAGTCTCAGCCAGTCGTTGCAAGATTTACAGATTTATTCTTCTTTGCCGCGTTAGATCATACAGAGGTAATGCTGTGGCCAAGAGATTTCGCCGGATACGTCGCGTTCGCGATGAGAGAGAGAAAGACGCGCACTATCTAGTTTTGCTTTCCGGTCGCTCGCATTTACATCTAATGTCGGGGACTTACGCCACAGGAACAAGTTGCTGCTGACAAAGTATCCTCGACGGTATCCACGGGTCACGTCGATTTCTGACTCTTCCTCGCAGCACACCTCTCAGTTAAGGTTTTCCCTGCCCGGATTCGTAGTTGCCCGCAATCCTCGACTGTTGCCTCAGATCGCTCTGGGCAACTGGCTGTAATGGGCAGCGGATGGTCTTTTCCTGAGCTGTAATTCTCAGCTACCCTTGAAACTGTCGGGTCTTCGCGCGATATCGGTCGAGAAGTTCCTTGATTTCCTTATGCAGCCACTTGTCACTCGTGTTTTATTGCCCGCAGGTCTGGACTCGACTACTCTTACGCATTCCTCTGTTCGCGCCTTGCGCACGCCGGCCGGCGGCCTAATTGCTCTCATTCCCCTTTCCCTTTTTCCTGCTGTCCCATGCTACGCCCGCCTAACACGCGCTGGCCGATGCCCTAATCTCTCTCCTCTCTCCCACTTTTTTCGTTCGTTCGTTTCGCGGGTGCTTTCCGCTTCTCCCTCTCTGATTTGTTCTCTCGGGCCGGCTTTTGTGTCGCCCCACGCGATGGAAGCGCTTATGCTCTACCTTTAACGAGCGACACTCGTTACAGATAATATTTATAACTATCATCAAAAACTGGACACGTTAAAGCAGGTTGCTTAATCGTTTCAATAATATTTTCATTTATAATAGATTTATTCTTATCATTATTTTTAATTTTATCAATATTTTCGCAAAGTACTGAAAATGTTTTATTCATTTCCATAGTAACATTATTTTTCCCGCGAATAATATCATAGAAATTATCATCGAATTTTTCTTTTAAAATAGCAATAATTTCATTTGATTTATCTAAATTATAGCAAACACCAACTGTGAAACACGGTGACGGAAGCATTATGCTATGGGGAACTTTCTCTAAGAAAGGCGTTGGTCCAATTTCAAAATTGGCATTATGGATTCTACCAAGTATAGAGATATTATATTAGATATAATGCTGCCTTATGCACGTAAAAATATGCCAAGAGCATGAATCTTTCAACAGGATAATGATTCAAAACATCGATCACAGCTCCTTCAACAAGTTTTTACTCAGAGAACAGTCTGAGTTTTAGAGTAGTTAAGTTAATTTCTGGATTTAAATCCTATAGAACACTTATGGCAAGAATTAAAATTATGAATAGGGACTGAAACTTGTACAAATCAAGCTTATTTGTAGAAAAAAGTTCAAGAAGAGTTGCAAAATATCTCTCAACAACGAATTATAAAATTGCTTAAATCGATGCCTACTAAATATTAGTATGGCTACTAAATATTGATAAACAACCTGAATCCTTTTATTTATTTGTAAGTTTTTTTATATATACTGAGCAATTTATGTTTGGCCGGATATTTATGAAATATTCATATTTGTTATAAATAATTATTGATTGTAATATTTAATTATCTAACTATGTAATGATGTAGCATAATAAATGTACTTTATAATAGTATATGAAAGTTATTATTTTATACTATTTCAACCACAGTTAATTATAAAATTATGATTGGCCGAATAATTTTGCATGCAAGTGTATGTTCCTAACTCAATTCATGATTCTAATTAATACCATTTATGCAGTTGACAAGATATACGGGGTGAGAAAAAAGTATGGAAAACCCGGAAAATTTGGAAAACCGCATGAAGTTAGTCATGAAACAAAAGTCATACCCTATGTAACTTTCAACGAGGAACGCAACGGTGACCTCTGATTTGACTTTGAACCTTATTTTCAAGGTTATTTCAAGGTCAACCTCATTTTTTCATATGAGAACCCCTATTTTTTATAATGGAATCAAAAAAAGCGATAAATTTTACGCATGGAAATGATTCAAGTCCGAAGATATCGTAACTCCTAATCCTCCTTTTAGTGCTATCCAGGAACAACGGCGTGGACGTAGAAGGAATCTATTCCCTTCGGGGTGCTTTTTTATAGTGAGTTCCCCTTGCCTCTCACTTCGGGGTGCTTTTTAATAGTAAGTTCCCCTTCCCTTTCACGTACATGAATTTACAACAGATGTTCAAATTGTTCTCCATTCGCTTCTTGACAGTAACCAATCCTATTGTAGAATGATTGAGTTGCATTTTGGATCATCTGCCGTGGAGTGGCATTAATTTCTTGAACTATTCTACGTCTTAATTCTTCAAGATTTTGTGGATTACTTCTGTATACCCTATCTGTCAAATACCCCCACAAAAAATAGTCCAAAGGGCTTAAATCTAGAGATCTTGGAGCCCACTCTACTGTACCTCTTCTACCTATCCATCTATCAAATGATGTTTCATTGAGGTATTGTCTGACATTTACACCGTAATGAACTAGAGCACCATCTTGCTGAAACCATGTATTTCCAAAATCATCAGCTCTTAAGGCCTGGATAGCTGGAACAATTTGATTTCGCAAAAGTTGTTCATAACTTACGGCGTTCAAATTTCCTTCGATAAAAAAGGGACCCATTGTTGTATCGCCTATTATTCCTGCCCACACGTTTAATTTTTTACGATATTGAGTGTGATTTTCTCTCATCCAATGAGGATTTGTGTTGGACCAATATCTAAAGTTATGACGATTGACTTCGCCATTTAATTGAAATGTCGCTTCGTCTGAAAAAACAATATTTTGTAAAAATAATGGATTTTCAGTAATCATTTGCATCATTGTCTCACAAAATTCTACTCGATCAGGATCATCCTCATTCAATTTCTGCACAAGTTTCATTTTATAAGGATGAAGCTTGTTTACATTTAAAATTTTAAGAAAAAATTTTTGATCGATCTCCTGTGGTAAAGCTACTGATCGAGATGATTCATGTAGAATTTCTACAAAAGACAGTAAAACATCTAAAGATTTTTCTTCATTTGTTGCTGTTCGTGATCTCCCAGTAACAGAACGATTTTTAATAGACCCCGTTTATTGAAAACGTCTTAAGGTTTTTAAAACTGTGGATTTAGACAAAGGAGTTTCGCCATCGCCGTTTCGAAACGTTCTATTAAAGAGATTAACAACATACGACTTTTGCTGATTACCCTAACCCATCATCATTAGAAGAGATATTCGTTGTCTTTCGGGCAAACGAAACATTTTAAAAGTTTGAAAAAAACAAAAATTTAATATTGTTATTGTAACTAAATAAAAAAACTGAAATATTTGAAGAATTTGTCGAATTAGTTTTTTTCTTATTTGTTAAGTATTTTTTTTCTAGAGCCTATTTACTATGAAAACAACAAAATATGGTTTCAACTTCCAATTAGTAGAAGTCAAGAACAAATAAGATTTTAAAATCTAAATGATAATAGTTTTTTAATTATTATTTGTAAAAGCATTTGTATTTTATTTAAAAATTTTCACTTCTTTCAAATACCTTCAAAATAATTTTGTATTTCTAATAAACAATTAGCTTTACAGCCCATGAAAGAGGAGAAAACGTAACTTTTGACGAAAAAAACGTGACTTTCCAGATTTTGAAAAGTTTAATATTTTATGCTCAAAGTAGTGACTTTCTATTTCCTAAAATAAAAGATGAAGACTACGAAAAAAATGAGGTCCAGATGAACTGTGCAGTGTGAAAAAAGAGTTATCTTCATTTTTCAAAATTCTAAAAAAATACGAGAAAGACAGATCTTCAAATTGCTTTTTATTCGTTTTCTAGCAAAAATCAACCCTGTTTTTGTATTTTTTAAAAAATAATGTTTTCTCAGACGAAGCTACATGTCAATTAAATGGCGAAGTCAATCGCCATAACCTTAGATATTGGTACGACAAAATCCTCATTGAATCAGAGAAAGTCACACTCAACATCCTCAAAAATTAAACGTGTGGGCATAAATGGTAGGCGATACAATAATAGGTTCCTTTTTATCACAGGAAATTTGAACGCTGTAACTTTTGTGAAATCAGATTGTTTCAGCTATCCAGGCGTTAAGATATGATGCGTTTGAAAATACATGGTTTCAAGGAGGATTAAAAGTCAGGCTATCTTTGAATCGTTCCCACCTGTAAAATTTATCGCTCTTTTTGATTCCAGTATAAAAAATAGGGGTTCCAATATGAAAAATAAGGTTGGCCTTGAAATAACCTTGAAAATGAGGTTCAAAGTCAAATCAGAGGTCACCGTTGCTTTCCTCGTTGAAAGTTACATAGATATGACATTTGTTTCATGACTAACCTCATGCGGTTTTCCGAATTTTCCGGGATTTCCATACTTTTTCCTCACCCTGTATATGCTTTCAAAGCAATGGATAAATTAGTATATTTGTATTTCTTCACTGAATGGAGAGGGTCTGCAGATGAACTCAATGAAATTATCACTGAATTACCAAAACTCACTCTTTCAAACAAGGTACCAGTAACTTGGAAAATGCATATACTTTTCGAACATGTTGAGCAAACGTTAAAATTATTGAAGAGTTATGAAGGTTTTGGCAAGTATTCAGAGTAGGCTGGTAAATCAGGGTAAGAATTCTTGAACTATTTGGAAAAATATAAAATTAATTTAATCAACGACTCTTTTTCTATTCTAAGAAATTGAAAACTGGAACTGTTCAAATTTCATCATTTTACATCTAAGAAAACTTACTACATGTATATTGCAACGAGCGGGTTCTAGCTTCTTATGTTTTTCTCTCCTCAAAGCCAGTAATAATATCATTTATGGTTAATTATGTACATGCCTCATAAGATGTTTACAACGCAGAGCAGACGTAATCGAATTGGTAAGTGACGAGCCCTTTGCTCGATTATCGATTGTAAACCCGTAACGCGGACCTCACGGAGATACAATTATTGTGAAGAAAAAGAAAATAAGCGCGATTTAGGTAGTTAGTATTCGATCAACAACAAGTTTGAATCGACATAAATAGTGTACATCGTCGCAAAATTCTAACAAAGAGATAGAGTTTAGCGATCGCGTTTAAGACGACATTTTAGTGGATAATCAGGTTAACCAAACTGTACATCGAAAAGCGAATACGCTGTAATAAGGAGAAGCTATTGCTTTATGTTGTTGCATAGTGTTGTTATATTACGCACCATTATAGTTTAACGAACGATGAATCACTGTAAGTACAAGTTCGGCTTTTTCTTCCTCTTTTTCTTTCCTCTAGCTTGCTTGTTTTTTCTGTTCATTCACGTTGCGCATACTGCCTTTGTTTAGCTTTTTCTCGCATAGCGCACTAATGTTGCGGCCCAATATTTACGACAATATATTTCGCGATAGCGACGAGGACTGCTGCGTTCGCTTACTCCTTTGTATACCGCGCACCAGTTCACTTGCTGCCATTGTCCGGTACAGCTCACAATGCAGCGCGTCTGCGTACGTGACGGGTACGCATTATTCATTTTTGTGAGTGCACGACTACTTGAGTGCTTGTGCGATGCCAATCTACGCGATGCATTCGCTACGCTTCTTTATCCGTCAAGAGTTAATAATTTTAGTTCTTTTTTTTGTTATTTTCTTTTGTTAAATATATCAGCTTGTTCACCTTGAGGCTTACGCATTTTATTTAATTACCACTCTCGCTTATCCTTCTCCATTCGACATCGTTGTTGTTCGTAATCACGTTTCTCTAGGTTATCGTACGCTCTGCTCTGTGATACTCTCAGCCGACCGATTTCCGCTATCTAGGAAGGTAGCGATTTGATGTAGCACGACTCAGGCAACATCTGCAAGGGAGTACAGTTTCGCTCTTAAGAACGTTATTAGCTGCCTTTACTCATAGATTTACTCAATTATTTGTATCTATGTTATCTATGAGCTTATCTGGTGAGCTCCTGTCAATTTTCTTGGTTTTTTACTATATCGCGGCAAACCACCAAACTCGCGTATCTATACCTATTAATTAGTATAGAGAACAGCGCTACCTCACATATTATATGATTGTATTAGGGCAAGAGTCAAATTTCATGACCAGATAAGGAGCGTGACGTTATTCTACTTATAGATACAGATATGCAAATTTTTATTGTTCAAATTTCAATGAACTAAAGTATTTTTCATGTTAGTTTTGGTGCGTAGATTATAATTATCATGTTTTCAATTGTTTTAAACTCTTAAATATTATTGAATTTCAATGTGTAAACTTCATTTAATTATAATTTTGCAAATATTAATTTATTATAATAAAGCGGATACACTGAGCTCGAGATGACAATCTTAGGAACATGAGTAATAATTCGATTCATTGATAGCAACTTAAATACGATTGTTATCAATAAATAAAAAATTAATAATTTATTTAAACAAATAAAAGAATACCGAAAGCGTTGAGTCTGCACATATTGACAAAATTGTTAGAATTGATTATTATTAATTAACCGATTTCATATTTACCTTATAAAATTTGGCTAAAAAGAGAAAATAATTATTCATTAAATATTATTAAACGATTTAGGTATTTCTTATTTGTAATTACTTCTACAAGCGATAAGTTATTTTTCTATGTAAAACATTTCCAAGAGGATTTCTATCTAACCACCCACAGGTTATAAAAAGCTCTGCAAAAAGCCTCAAAGAAATCAGGTTAGGTAGTGAAGAAGTGAAGGAGTGAAGTAGTAAAGAGTCGATGAAGTCAAAGAGTTCAAAGAACGAAAACAAAAACAACGAAAACAACGAAAACAAAAAACGAAAGAACCCCGACGTCAAAATATTTTTTTGGTTAATCTCTATCAAAATAAAAAAGGAGCACATCCGAATTTTGAACAATGATTTCTTGAGAATATAAGTAAAAATAAAGGTAACTACTCAATCCGATTTCCTCGGAATCGACAACAAACTTTTTTCCGCCTTCTCGACCACAATAAGAGCTCTGATTTCATATTTGATTAAACTAAGAATTGGACCATCAAATACACTAGCGGAAAAAATTAAGGGATCAAAACAAAATTCCAAATTTTAAGTGATTTTCCAAATAACCCTATCTTTGTTAAAAATGGTTATATGACAAATTCAAAGAAAAAAGCAAATTTAAGCTTGAAGTCTCTAGATTTTGAATCTAAGAGTCAAAAAATTTTCTAGTCCATGTATTTTGTGAAATCCTAAGGAATATCGTGAGAAAAAATTTTTTTAGTTCTTTTTTTGGTCCACTGATGAGAAGAAATGTTGTTTGTCTAAACAATTATCTAATCATGGACTGGACGACTTTAATTAGGGATGTAGTAGAGCTGGATATAACAGTTTGTTTCAAAGATATCGGAGTTGAAATGAAGAAGAATCATTTTTTCTTTGATCATAGATATCTCAGAACCAAATGATCGCACAAAAAATTGAAGATAGGTTATACATGAATTTGGGAAAACAAAAAAAGGGCTTTTGCGGGATTTTGGGAAAAACCGTGCGTTAAATTAATAGTATCACGAAAATCAGTAATCTTAATTGTACCTTTTACAGTTCCATATATCAATAAAAGCCTTTGCAACGGTAGTCGATTCGATAAATCGATCCATTCGCGATTCGTGCACTC